TAAAGCTCTAAGCGCTTTACAATTATTAAAAACATGTAAACTAAGTAAAATAAAAATGAGACACTAGGATAGTAACTACTATACTATAGAAACAATTAAAATGGCTATAAAACGAGGACACTTTGGCACGTATTGGTCTATACTACAAGATCAACCCGAGACAGAAAATGAGGCAGGGCAAGGAGGGTGCATCACAGGTCATAGGCGGACCTAAACAGATGGGTTTTAAGGGACTTTTTAAAAGTGGACGAGGTTTCACAATGACGGATATGGAAGGGGAGCTGGTTCCAGAACGTGGGCCCATGGAAGTAGAAGGAGCGTTCACCGATGGTCTTAGTTTTGGTATAAGTTTTCCCCTTCAGCAAAATAATGATTAGAATAATACAGGTTCATGTAACTCTCTGCAATTATAAAATTTAACGTTTTTCATAATTACAAACACCCTTTTGCAGCTTAATTTTAGATTTCTATGTGCATTTAGAAAATACTCTTCAAATAAAAAATCTACAATTTCTTCAAAACATTTTGAATGTAGCAATTTTTTATTATTTTGCAATGGTCTTTTAAGCCATCAAAAAATGTCTACCATTGCCACCATAGTTCGATTTAAATTTACATTCTCTCATATCATGAACGTCTAATAAGCATGCCAAAATCTCCAACAAAATCATTAGCAGCCTTTTTCTAAATCTTCTTATTTGAAGTCTCTTTTTCAGTATTTACCTATGTGGGGCCAAAGGATTTGTCTTGTTATAATAGCGTGACCTAAACTATTGACATGCTCACTTTGTATAAACGAATGAATAGTAAATTAATGGAAAAATTAAGCACGAGTACTAATAGAATACCTTAATAAGGGAGTTTACTCTGAAGAAAAGTGAAACTGTTTCCGTCTAATTCGCACATGCGCAATTCACAAAGTAGTTATTTACTATCGAACCCGTAAATTGCCACAGTGTGACGTCTGGTGTTTGGCAACAGGCAATTATATTTTTTTTCGGGCATGGCCCATGATCAGGCTGCTCTTTTACTTAGCAGACAACTTAAAGGTACGGTTCAATTTGTGATTTCTTGAAACGTAAGGTCGTACATGTAAAGCAAATATTTGCATGTTGGCCTAGATTCTAGGCTAGAAGCGTAGAATGCTAGCCTACACTACAGATTATTAATTATTACATTTTCATTTAATAAATAATACTATTAGGCCTAGGCGAGGACTACAACCTACTGCATGATACAAATACATGAACTGATTATATTTTGACGGCAAATTTTGGGTTAACGGTATGGATTTTGCCAAGAGTTGTCTCACCCTAAGCGCAGGGAATCCCAACCACTGGACCTAGGGGGGGGGGGTTGATCAATTGGGACAATTGTAGTTATAGGACCTGAAAGTGAAGTGAAAGATGTGTGGTGACTGACTGTGAGTGGAGTGTGATAGATTTCCTGTTCTTTACCTGAGCATTACTCACGTCATAAACTAAATCTGGTTAAAGTCAGTTCAGGTGTGTACATATTATTTCTGGTCGAATTTCGTATTTTCGCGTGTAAAATTATGTAAATTTTTTACTAAAGTAATTTTTAAAGTAAAATGACATATTTTTGTTGGATTAAAACAAAATTTTAACAAATTTTATGAGATATAAAAGTACATTTTTATGGATCTTTTGATTTTTACAGAGTCATTTTGTAATGTGGTAAATCAAGGATAGCTCTTCTGTCTTTAACTTTAAATAAAGATACAGTATAAAAGTTGCCCAATTGATAACCGGAGTTATATAGGGAACTCATACTTGACATACATAGCCAGTTTACAAGCCACATTGCATTTATTACATTCCATTTTGTTTAAAGGGGTGCGCCTTGCAAGAAATTCCATAGTGTTGCCTCACAAAGTGTGCGTATAAACCAAATGCTGCATCATTTAAAATTTCCATTGGATGAACAATTTTAATTATTGTTTCTTGGTCGTCCTGTCATTTTGAACAAAGTGATCCCACTGCCAGCAATACCACAAAACAAGTCCGTCTTATTATATATAATCACTAGCCCTCACCCTCATTTGACTCAGCGCTAGAATAACCAGTGTATACATATTTCTTTTGGGGGGGGGGGGGTGTAAAGAAATTGTGAAAAAAATTGTGACACTTCGTGACAAGGGGGTCTAAGAAGGTCATTTTTAGCCTGACTCAGCAATACCACAAAACAAGTCCGTCTTATTATATATAATCACTAGCCCTCACCCTCATTTGACTCAGCGCTAGAATAACCAGTGTATACATATTTCTTTTGGGGGGTGGGGGGGTGTAAAGAAATTGTGAAAAAAATTGTGACACTTCGTGACAAGGGGGTCTAAGAAGGTCATTTTTAGCCTGACATAATTCACGAACGATCCCTAACTGATAATATTTTCAGTAAATTAAAATACAGCTATAAATTAGTTTTAGCCAAATCAAACATTGGATTAGGAAATATGCAGTAAATTGCATCATTGGGTGCTAATTACAAAAGTGGATCGTTATGGACATGTACAGGACAAAGCACTGCATGCATTCTAAATTAACTAAATATATAAAAAGTATATTATTTACTTTTTTTATTGGCTAAATTATTACTTGATTTTGAACTCTCTTATATGTTACTCTACTATCATGATTTGCAGAGTGAAATAAATGTTTCTCTTTATTCTTTCTTAGAGCTAAACAAGAGCTCAGTGGATGGTTTTTCTGCTGGTCTTATTGATGATGAGGACTTGTTCAAATGGGAAACTGTTATATATGGGCCCCCTGAAACACTTTAGTAAGTATTAATTTTTTATATATTACCAATATAATTTTAAAATATAGGCAAGCTGTCTAGCTATTTGAATTTTAACGTCAACGTTTGGTCGGAAATATTCATAATGTGCTACTTTGATAAGTATAGGATATTTTTCCGTGACTGGTTAACTTAGAAAATGCAAATAAACCTCAAAATCATTTATTCTTTTACACTTCTAAGTGCATTTAAACAAAACTTTTTCCCTATGTAGTGAGGGCGGAATGTTCAAAGCCCACCTTCTCTTTCCAAAAGAGTACCCTCACAGACCGCCAAAAATGAAGTTTGTGTCCGAGATGTGGCATCCTAATAGTGAGTACAAGTACTGCACATTTTTAAATGAAGTTATTGTGTGCATATTATTTGCTAGACAGTTGTTTAGTACTTTATAGTTCTATTTAATATAGAAAGATGTAATATGTTATTGGCATCATTTTCTTCTTAGGCTGAAGTAACGATCAGTACTTTTTTTCACCTCTCATAATAGTCGACCAAGAAGGAAATGTTTGTATCTCCATCCTACATGAGCCTGGCGATGACAAGTATGGATATGAGAAGGCAGCGGAGCGGTGGCTCCCCGTTCACACTGTGGAAACCATCTGCATCAGTGTCATCTCAATGCTTGCTGACCCAAATGATGAATCTCCGGCCAACGTTGATGCTGCTGTAAGTAAGGGTCATGGGCAGAGTAATGGCTGCTCTGGAGTTTTACGGAATGAATGCCCAGTGAGGGGGAGTCTACATTGGCTCTGACACAAATATTAAAAAGATATTTTGTGACAGGAGTTCGTGACATTAATTTAAGTGAATAGCTATCATTAGTGTATGCTTTATTTGTCTAACTACATTATTTGTAATGCATCTGTTGTCATACTATGGCAAAGTATTATGAAATATTTTCAAAATGAAGCCAATACTGAATTGACCAGTCCCATCCTAAAATATTAATATCAAAATGTTCTGGTCCCATGTCCTGGGTAAATTTCATTAAGTTCCGTATTTAGTTCCATTACAAAGACAGCTGTGGTATTTGATCATCTTGTTATAAATCTGTAGCTGCTGGATATGATTTTTAAAGGTTCATAGGGTGAATGAAACTCGACTAAATGTTTGAACATCATTGTTTTCTTTTGAACTTTGTAAAGCTTTGCCACCACCTTATGTCCTTTAAAATACAAGATACAAGGTTGTAATTTCAGTTTTCATTGCCGTCTGCATCTACCTATTCTTTTACAGAAAATGTGGCGGGAAAACTATGAAGAATTTAAAAAGAGAGTAACAAGGACTGTCCGGAGAAGTGTAGAAGAATTATGATGGCCTTGAACTTCTATTGTATGTGCTTTAAAGTGAGTGCTTGTGTTTTATATTATCTCTTGAATGGAGAAGTAGCCACACCCGCATCGTAATGGTATCATTACAACCTAAGTATTGCTGTGGACTTAAGTTATATTATAAATTGTGAGTTTTGTATGAACATTGTACCGGTATGTCAACTGAATTTTTTTTTTTTTTCAGCTGGTCCTTTTGCAACAGATAAAATAATACATCAGCTCGGCAGCATCCTTCACAATAACAGTTTTGATGTTCTGGACTTTTGCCTTGATAGTGTGCTCCAGAAAGTCCAGACCATGTTTTTTGTGCAGAAATTTTGTTGACTGGTATAAACACACTAACTCTGAAATATTTAGTGAATTCTTTTTTTTTTCTCCTGGATATACAGTTTCTACTCTATAAATTGGAGCATATTTATTGTGATTAATTAAAAATAAATTATGAATTTTTTTTTCAATTTTAGGAGCAACAAAAAATAATGGTTTGTTGTTGTTTTTTAAAGGGAATGGAAACGCTGAATTCTGGTCTCCGCTGAATTCTGGTCTCCGTTTTCATGATTAATGTATAAATTAGGTCATTTTTATTACCTCATACATTAATAGATAAATTACCTCGTGTTAAATACTTCAATCCAGATAGAATGTCTGAAATGATTGTGTGTAATACAGCTTGTCAAGATAGAGTTGGTGTGTTTATCACTGTGTGATTATTTCTGATGACCTTCGTTGGCATTATCAGGGATTATTGGTTTGATGTCATGCTATTCATACTTCCCCTGTGTTGATAGAGTAAATAAACGTGTGCATTTTATTTGATTTTGAACCTCTTTTTTGCCCATCGAAATGTAATGAAATTCTGATAAATGGACTTTATTTCAAAGTTTAACAATAGATAAATCATAAGTAATAGATAAATCATAAGTATATTTTTGATAGAATTGCTATGAATTTTTTCTTGTACATGCTTTTTTTTTTTTAAAGAATCAAAATATTTACTTTATTGTGTAGGTATTTCATTTTTAAAATACTTTTTACTCAATTTGAATAGGTTGGGTTGATCTGCTCGAGTTACACAAATCAGGCAAAGACAATGGTGTTGAATAATAAGAGATAGATCATTGATATAATTAAAATGTCTGAGGACGTAAATTGTAAATTTGTAGACTTTTCTGTTGGGTATCAGACCTCACTATATAAATATTGTTACCGGTACTTCAGAAAATGAAACACAAATAGGGTAATTTTAGACAAATTTAATTATAAGTATAATTATTACATTTGCACCAAATTAGTGGTTACACTACAAACTTATCTCCATTACAAAGTTAACTCACTTTTTTTTTTTTTTCTTCAGAAACAGGGTTAAAAAATGTGTAACTCCAGTGTTCAATTTCATCCTATTTGATATTAAATTGTAACGATTTGAAGTACTTTGTGCACCAGTCAAATTATTGTTGTCTTTTAATAAATACAAAATTAATTTTAAGTGAAAATCTTCCAGCTAAGCCCATTAGTTTCACTTATCAATACTGTATGGACTTTAAATAATTTCCAATGAAGCAAGACATTTCATTCTTCCTTCTAAGTAATGATGACCTTGTGCAGCTAATTGTGTATGGGTTGTAACAATTTAGATGAATCAATTGTGTAGTTTTTCCTCTCTCAAGCTCGTTGTTGCAATATGTAAATGGTTGTTTGTGATGTGCAGCATGATAAGAAGATATGTACACTGGTTCCATCCTTATAAATTGGAAAAATGTTGACCATCAACAATTTATTGGACACTACTTTTGAAAAGTTGCACAGGAAATTATGGTTATTTTAAATAACAAATTGTCAATATAAAACCTGTACCGGCATAAAATTTAAAGCCCCATATCTGAATTATTGCAAAATAGCTAAGATAGGACTTATAGCTGAACATTGCATCTAGCAAGGGCAAAACTATACATTCACTTTATGCTATTGTATTGAACATAACATGTCTCCATGAATATCATTTCACATGTCTGTCAAATTAGTATTTTTTGCATGGTGATAATTTTGTTTGTTGATTAATGCCATTTTGAGAAACTTTTTACTGATACACTGGGGTAAGTCTACCTTGTGAGATGGTCAATGCCTAGGAGAAACGTTGGTACTGTCATCTGATGGGGTGCCAGCAAATCCATATTTGTCAAGTTCGGAAGTCATGTTTCAGATTAAATTATTTCCTTATGCTTTTTTCCCCAATCTTTTGTGTTAATCATTTGTTTATTGTTGATTTACTCTTGTAAATGAAATAGTTTTTTCCCAAACACATCTGCATAATGAAAATTTCTTATGGTACCCAAAAACATTAAACATTGATAGCTTGTTACATTTTGGCCAAATTAAGGTACATTTTTTAAAATTACAATAGAGTAGACCAATACCTTCTTGAAAACATCCAACAAGTTTGGTATACATAAAATGTTTCATGTGTAGTTAAAAATAAAAGAATTAGAAGCCAAAGTAACAATTTAATTTGTATGTCCAGAATGAATTCTTATAATTAATCAAGAGTATGAACTATGACACAGGAATTCATAGACCACAGTCACTTGCATGAACTAGTAAAACATCTTGTGGGAACCTCTGTAAACAGATGGGACATTCAGTATATTCTACGGATTCGTCTATAAGCATCTCGTCATGATGGGAGCCTTGGTCAGATAGCCCACCCAGGGGCATGCAGAATGCCCAGTGTGATGCTATTTCATCTCTTGGGAATATGCCTGAAAGGAAATAGTGAAACCTTTGCAATGAATGGCCTAGTAATGCTTGAATCGTTCAGAAAGTTTCTTTATAGTAATTTTCTTCAGCTCGAATGACCAAATTTTTATTTGATATGATAATGGTACATATAATTATTTCATAGGAAGCAAATATTAAGAACAAGAGTCAAACAAAAGGAGGGAGATTCTTCAAATTTGTACTAGCAGCAACTGAATTCCTTATTGTACAGGATTAAATAAGAAACAACCATACATAATATATGTCCTGTTCATCGAGCTGAGAAAATTGCCTGCCTGAAGGCCTTTCGACCAGTATAATCAGAGTTAACTTTAAATGTGTATGTTAAACTTATAATTATATTCTATCTTCTGCAAGTAGAGTCGGAAGTGTTTACAGTTTATCTAATAACAAATTGAGTACCGGTAACGGAAGTGAAGTAGTTCATAATTTTTAATGGTAATTGTCAGTTCTACCATTACTTGAGTAGCTACTACTATAGAATTACTCACCATGGCATTTATCACAGTAACTAAAGTTGTAATCACAGGATGGCGCCAGATGAGAAAAAAAAAAAAAAAGACACTGGTTAAAAATAAAACAAGATGATATTATTGAAACTGAGTGATTTAAAAAATGGTACCAGTAATAAAACAATGTTATTACTGGTAACAATACCCTCTGATCAGTGCTCCCTTTAAATTTTTCTATTGGTGTAAAATTTAAACTTGTGCACAATCCTGCTATGAAGAAAACTCTACTGTGACCAACTGATAACATCAAAAGAAAAAAGAATGGCTAATAGAACCTCATAATAATGGGAATTCAAATACAGCACAGTTGCAAATTCAGATTTAATAAATGAAAATGTAACAGTTGTATCGTGGCCCCCACAAATTTCATATACCTTGTCACTGGTATTCATTCTCACATGAATTTTATTTTTCTTCAAATCACAGATACATAATAAAAGAGTTGGTTTTTTTAAACTGAAATGCCATGATTAGCTATAAATTTTCGTAGAACACGATCACAAATCAACTAAAACGAGTCAAACCTCAACACTACATAGCTCACCAATCAATATATTATCTGTCAATTTTGAATAGATCGTAATGTCTACCATAATTTTCATATCGGTCCGATAATTTTTTTAATTAGACATGAATTAAAAGGAACCTGGCTGCTAATGCAATCGATTTCATTTTTAATGACCCCAATTATCATATTACCAGGTACAGTATATTGAAGATTTTGCCATGCATATGTAATACTTCCATTTTTATAATATCACCACCCTCATAATCCAACAGTCAGACACCTGACTGACCAAATTCTCAATTCGCATTCATAACATTTACAAACAGTCCTCACAACAGACAGTCAAATATGTATTCCATAATTAGAACCCAAAAAAATATTTTCTCACCTGTCTGTACTTTGCAAATTTCTCTGATGTTGTCGGTTATCACACCCTCTGGGACTTTCTGTAAACTTTTTATCACTCGGATTTCTGTGCTTCTTAGGTTTTGGTGTGTTGGTAGATTTTCTGAATTTGAACTTGGGTGTTTTCTCTAAACTGGCATTTAATGAAGGCCCAATTGGTGAGTTTGAAAGCTTTGATATAGTGCTGTCTGACTTACATTTGTCATCACTCATTCCAGCAGAATGCACACTTTTAAAAGGTATTCTATCAGGCATAAAAATAGATGTAGAAGAGTCTACAGATTTTACATGCTTGGAATTATCTGGTGTATTTCCTGACTTTATAGGAGAACATACGCCCATATTTGCCTCTTCTGGAAAAGATTGTGGCATAGTTTCATCATCACTAAATAATTCAGAACTAAACTGTTGCATTAAGTTTAAACTACTGTGATTTAATTTCCTTCTTTTTACTCTAGGTTTTCTTTCAGTTTTAATGTCTTCACTTGTGGACTTTTTACACTTTGTCCTGTTAATATTTTCAACTGGCAACAAGGACTGATCACTATGTTTCTCAATGAAACCATTGCCTGATTTCAGAGACAAAAAAGTTAGTTTTTGAGATGGTTTACCTTTCTTTTCATTATGGGAAATGTCTCCTGGATCTGAATAATTATCATTCACTTCGTTTTTACCATTCTTGCTATCACTGCTGCCAATTTGTGAATTTAAGCTAGACACTCTTGAATTTTCCCCAATGGGTGCATCCTGGTTACCTTCTAGGTTTTCAAAAAATCTGATTTGATGTAATTTTCTTTCTGATGAAACTCTTTGATTTTTATAATTCATTAATTTTATTCTTGATTCAACAGGAGTTGTGCCTTTCACTTCTGTATTATTAATACACAAGCTGGCTGTTGGTGACAAATCTTTGGAGATACTTTTGTTCCTAGGGGTTATTTGTTTCTCCACTCTGTAATTTATTTTCTCAGGTGTTGCCTTAGAAATTGAACGAAGAGAGTTTGTTTTACTTTTGAGTTCCAGAATAGGTTTTGACATAAAACTGGTGCCGTTTCTGTTCACCTCGACCTCTGCTTGATTTACAGAAATAATACCAGTTGGTCTTTCTGAATGTTTCACTAGAGTTATTGGAACAGAAGAGGATGAAGGATTCAAGATTTTTGTTTGTGGTGTCAATTTCCTTGCCATATTCATTAAGTCATTGTCTTGTGTCTCTTTTACATTTGATTGACAAATAACTGGGTTGGTTTCCAGTGTATCTATTCCACAGGCGTCTGAATTTTTATCAAGTAGGTCACAAATAAAGGTTTGGCAAATTTCTGAAAATGTCCTCTTCTCATCTGTTGTAAGCTTGCGCCTTTTTTTCTTTTCAAGTTTATGACGGAGGTCTGAAAATTTATTAATGATAAAACTGCAGTGAAAAATAAAACAAGAATCAATTTTACAGTACTTTTAGAATGAAATCATTTGATTATAACAGAAGGACCCCTAAGAAAACTTTAAAATAAATATCTTTAACCTACCTGCAATCGTTAAAATGTCTATATTTTCTGGTGATATCTTTAAAGTTGGAAGAAAGGTTTTAATTTCTTCTTGAATCTGGAACAGAGATATCAAAATGTAAATTCCTATTTCTTCAAATGCAATATTTCAAGATTCTTTCACATCAGAAAATATGTAAGCAAGAAAGCCCATTTTTAAGAGAAAATTTAAAAAATACCCCAATATTTAAAACACAAATGGGGAATTAATGCCACAACAGAAATAATACAAAAATATATTTGAATAAATCAAACAAAACACACTAACAGATACATCATTTTTCTTTGCAAGACTTTCAGAGAAGAATTCTGATTTGCGACTTGGTGATACAGTGAAGGGCCTGTAGGTTCCTGCCTTCTCTGTAGCTTTCAGTACAATCTTCGCTGTCCGCGAAAGGGCTTGTTCATGTTCACAGCCATTTTCTGAACTCCCTGACATCTTCATAAGACGAAACTTGAGAGCCTCAGCAGGACTAAATTTATTAAAAACAATCGACATATCAATCAAATTTTAAATGTCACACTGAATTTGAATGTGACATTGATATAGTTTCCTGTAAGACACATCTCTTTATTAGCTTACTTTTGCAATTTACACTTTCACACCTTCTCTGTGGCAAATCAGATTGAAATCATAGAAAATATATTTATTTACAGAAATTTGAGTAATGGCAACACATTTTTTTAAGAAATGTATATCTATGATATAAAAATTATCTACATCAAGATTTGTATTTTGTAGTGTAGAAAACTTAACTGTTAGGTGATCTATCAACTCTTAGGGATCAACAAAGATTTACTAAACTACCTCCAGCAAAGCAATGAATTACTAACCTCTCTACTCCTGTGCTACCATTACCAAATATATGCTTCTGTAAACGTGTGACATTTGAGTCAATTTCTGAATTGTTGTTTTTTCTTGGGGACACAGCTTTTTCTGCTTCAACACTTTTTATTCGTATGAAAGAAATTCCAGTTTGAACATCTCGCCTGAAAGGTTGTCTACAAATTATCTGTAAACGATCCCATTGCTGTGTTGCTATCTCTTTTGAGAAATCAGCTGTAAAATGTAAACATTACGTTCATAATTCTTTTTTTTTCTTCTACGTATACAGAAGGACGAGAGAACAATTTTAAATACTTTTTAAAAATTCTTTCATTTCCTAATCTGTTAGAAATTACCAGCATGCTCCCACTGCTGTTTCAAAATCAAACAATCACTCTTGAAATCAATATTGTCAATGTCACTAAGGGATTGAGGTTTTATGGTATAAGATGGCTAATTTTTGCACTTGAGTGATGTTTTAATTGATCTATTTTAAAAATGTTGTCTTGGTTAGAATTGGTATCCATGAGCTGAAAATGAATAGGGACAATAAATCATTTCCAATTATATGGATGAATGAAAAAGATTCTTCTTATATCTTATCTTATAAATTAGAAACATAAATTTAAAGAGGTAAACAAAATTTACCTTTCGAAAACATTTTTGTGCAGCTTGTTGCACGCCCAAGTCTACAATCGACTGGAGACATTAAAACAACACTTGGAATTAAGGACTTGAACTCCATGGATTGAGGCCAGTCGGATCGGCCAACACGAACCTCTAAGCTGGAACACCAGGTTGTCCCTATGTATTTGAGATAAAGATAATAGATTTTTAATAATAAACCTAAGCAGCTCGAGACCACAAAATCTTTCACAATTATCCATTACATCTCTCTGTGAGAAAAGTATAGCACTGAATATTATAATGGCAAAATACTTCAAGATTATTTGTAGCTTTAATAATTTATGGTTTCTGGTTTTTTTAAAGTAAGAACAGCAATAAAAACAATATATAAATGGAAACTATTTACCTATATCAATGTAAGACAGTGTGCAAGCTTCCTCCAGCTGTAATACTAATTCTAGCTTTCCACTTTTATCTTTTGGATGAGATAGCCATCTATTGTTCCCATCACTATTGACAAGGTTACTGGCTCTGTGATTATCATCCTTGGTGGATGGAATGTATGGTGTCAGCAAAAGCAAATTTATATATATTTATATATATATATATATATATATATATATATATATATATTTATATATATATACCTCAGTGGTTATTAACCCTGTTGGAGGTACCGAACCCCACCAGTTTCACATGCACATTCACCGAACCCTTCTTAATAGGAAAAATAAAATCTGAAATTTAAACAAAAATTTTTTTTGAACCTCCGCCAAAAACCTGAGACTGACTCTCCGATTCCCTGGGTGGGGTTCGAGCGAACCCAGGTCAAGAACCACTGATATATATAACAATAAATTTTATCTTTACAGGCGACATATTTACAATTTATTTGTTTCCCGGGAGAATGATTAAAACATGCCTATATAACATAAAATATCTAAATTTAATTACATAATTTTGTAGCATGAGCCATGAGTTATATATAAAAGAAGGATAAGACTAATGTTTTGGCCAACTTAGAACTACTTCCTGAGTACTGGTGACCCAGGGTTGCAAACTAGATATGATTTTATAATAAAATTTATTGACAATCTCAACAATTTGTACAATTTTAAAATAAACTTGTACTTGTGACTATGAAGCACACAAAAATTTAATGTATGTAGTATGAGTGTATTTTATAATGTTAGTTTATTGTATAGCATTCTCGTCAGTGTTGAGAATTTCTGATGATTATGGTCAATTATATGAATTATGATTATGTTTTACACTGCAACTACAAATTGATTGTAACTGTAATTACAGTATACAACACATGCACTCTGCTGCCCGAACACTATTATTAGGTCATCCAGCTAAAGCAGACAATGCGCACCATGATGTCATTTACATGTTTATTTAACTTAATAGGTTTAAGCTTAGGGTATGTTTAGGTTTCAGGTTAAGGTTTATGGCACTTTATGGTGACCTTTCACGGGTCATAGCAAACAAGATAGCAACCATGGTCATGGTGCAGATTGAATTTACCGGTCATCTATATAATATATAATAAATAGGTACTTATTTTTTATATAGATTTTGCATATGTGTGCATATTCTAGGTCTAGGCAGACACTCATTCAGTAGTTCACATTGCATGATTGCTGTTGACTGACTTACTACTCATGACTCATGGCCATGTAGGCCTACATAGTACATAGCCTACATAATTATGATTATAATATATGATTGTTATTTTATTATCATTACGTGGAGCTCCTGACTGGCCAGCCTGTTATTCGTCCCTAAGTAAAAGTATTTAGTAAGTTAAGTAAGGAGTAAGGTGTGACAGGAATTATACCGGTGTCGTGTGTGGCTGCAAAGAATGGCTAAGTCAAAGTACGAGTGTCGTCGTCGTTGCCTTTTAATTTTAATGTTCATTTCATATTAATGACAGTCATATTATATAACCGTCCTTTATTTCAATAAGTTATTGAAAAGAAAAAAAATATAATAGTATTAATAGTTTGAATAATTTTATTTACGGTACATACTTGCGATGAAAACGAAATAATACATTTTATCATTACAGGCGCCATATTTACAATTTATTTGTTTCCCGGGAGAATGATTAAAAATTAGGAATTCGTTAAGGCTCAATTTCATTTTATTTACTTCGGCTTTAATCTAATAGACTAAAACGGTCACTAAAAAATAATAATTCTTGTAATGGATTGGTAGAGACATAATGTCAAAAGTTGTGAATCCTATAAAATTTCACCACCTACCACATCCCTCGATTTTCGGCTTCATTAAGCTATCAGAAAACTTTTTTTTTTTTTTTTTTTAATAATTAAAAAGTCTCTGTACCTAAACTTAAACTGAATAAGAATAATATTATAACCATTGTTGTCAAAACTCTAATAAAATATATAATATAACAAAAAATAATATTTCCTGACCATGATAATAATAGAAACTAAGAATTATAACTATTTTATAAAAACCTGATGTGGACAATGTGGTCATTTGGTGTGGAGCTTTAAGTTTAATTAATCCCTTTTTATTTTTTAAATTGCCTACATACTACATAATCATAATAAAATGGGTTGGTTGGTAACAGAAATGTTGTTTTTGACATGTCCAAATTTAGCCACTCTTTTTCCACATTCCATCAGTTGAAAAGGAAATGTTGAGGGGAAACAAAATTATTAAAATTTAATCAGTCAAAAAATAAAATGAATAACTTATAAACCCTCGACATATTTTATATGGACCAGCTACTAACCTCCCTGCTCATTTAAATTGACCAGCTGCTAAAAATATCTCCATATTTATATTGACCAGCAACTAAAACCTCTCCACTTATACTAGTGCAGACCTGTTTACCCTTACGATTTTGGCGTACAATGTACGATTTTGAGGTGTACACATTATATACACTGTGTGTCTTTTTACTATTAAGATCATGTATTGAACGATTTTGTGATGATATTGTACGATTTTAAGAGTTTGGGGGTAAACAGGTCTGCTAGTGACATGGTACTAAAACCTATCCACATTTCCATTTGACCAGCTAATAAAACTTCTGTTCAATTATTTTTATATTATATTATATTATAATCGTTTGATTAAACAATGAAATGAGTAGAATGGATCATATTCCTCCCCAAACGCAGATCTCAAACTAAATGAAATTTTAATTATAAAGCCCTCCCTTTTCGCAAACTTTTCCCAACAACCCCTAACTAGTAACTTACATTTTAGTTAATAAACTAACTGATGATATTAGGAATACATTTTCAAAAATAATGTTTTATACTTATACCTGTAACTTCAACATTCAATATTAAAATTTAAGAAGGTTCTACACAAACAACCAAAAAAATGTAGTTTTATTATTTTTATTTTATTATGTTTTACAAATACTTTCACAGAAATAAATGAAAAAATACTCAGCCTTTAACATATACAATGTTAAACAAAGTGAATATATTTAAGCATGACACTATGACACTCACATTAACATTGCTCAATAAATTAATTTTTTCGCCCCGGTGGACCAAGCAGTGATTACTATGAAATAATTGAGAACAATCTGCCTGCATCTTGAGAGGTATGGCACAATAGTTATTAATTAACATCTGATTTATAAAACATCCGATAATGACTACTAAAAAAATACTGTTAAAAAAACAAATACAAAAAAATGCATTTCAAAAATGAAATCTTAAAATTGCACTGCACAAAATTGTAAAATCATCACAGTAAAAGTAAAAGCAAATTTACATCTCCCCACCCAATATGAGGGATGAAATATTAGGTGCTGGGTCATCAATTCTCAGATTTTTCTTACATTAAAAATAGGTCTGGAAAAAGTAGAATTTAAAATAAGTCTAATACATCAAAGCATCAAACAATTGACAAGCCACTGCAAGAAGAAAGAACATTTTGCAGTGTAATGTGCACAAGCTTTATCAATATTTCAGATACAGAAGCCTCTAGGCTAGATCTAGATATAAAACAAACATTTGAAATATATCATGTCCTCAAAGAACAACTGCATGTCTGGCAATGTTTAGTATAAGATTTACATTAACTATTTTCACAAATTTATAGATATACCGGTAATATATTTGGTGGGTTTATATATTTACTGGGTTGTTCTGAGTCTATAACAATAACAAAAGAATATAGCGTTATGGACCTCCTGATATAAAACTGTTCCCTCATTTGTAAATATCTCATTCTATTTTGGGATTTTAAAATTAAATATCCGGTTGGATAACCCCAGGCTGTTGACTTAGTAATGCTGATTGTATTTCTGGAATGTCTACTCTAATAGAATACAGGAGTTAATTGTTAATATCATTTGTTAATAGCAATGATAAAGTAGAAATGTATATTATTATTCCATAAATTATTAGAAAAAGTACCGGTATGTTCAAAGTGACTTTTTAAAAAATGCAAAAAAATATATTTATGTTATAAACAAAAAATTCATATTGTATAAGAAACTTAGTCAACTTGCCTAAATTAATTAGTTTTAAACAAACAAAAATATCACAATAATAAAAAGAACACCCATTTTTAACCATAATGTTAACATTTGTTCAGTAAGTTTTACTGAAATTCATCTATTCTTTTTATCATTCATAAAAAAAAATTATTATAGCTTTGCAGAGCAGAAACAGATAAATAATGCACCTGGGGAAAAAATTTATCTAAATGGAAACTTTAAAAACCCCAAAATTAGGTTTATGCAAATGATTAGCTGCCTACCGAAGATCTTATGTTTTTGGTTTACCACTCAAGGCCTCTAATAGATGCTGCCCATACAGATAGACATCTAAGTAGAGACGGAGTGGTTGAGGGAGTGGAAGGAGCCAAATGTTTTCTGCAGCAGCACTGTGGTCAGATTTAAACAGGGCAGCCCTAATTGTCTGCCGACATAGTGCCTGCAGCCTATTGCTGGAAAATTCTCCTCTTTCCACTTTTTCCCTTATCCTCAAAACAGTTGATGGGTCAAAGGTTTTTTCCATTTTAGTATATTCTTCAGGGAGGACCACTCGTCCCAACAATATTAATATAAAAAAGTCAAAGTTGAGTTCAGCTTTGTTCTGTAAAGGTCTCAGTCCATTATTAGTTTTTACATTTACGCTGAGGCCCAAGTCATGCAGGATTAAATACTTATGACAGTGAAGAAAGGGACAATGCATCAATGTGTTCCCAGAAAACGTGCGCATGAACGGGTCAGCGCCTTTGCGCAGGAGCAGATAAAAGAAGTCTAAACGATTCATTAAAAAACTCTGATATAGGGGGGTTGAACCAGAGTCATTCCTGATATCAACCTGAATGTTGGGCATGTTCAAAACCAGCTGAACCATTTCATAGGCTGCACGGGTGTCATGATGGGAAATGAGTAAACTTAATACAGTGGATCCCCTGTTGTCCTTGACATTTGGGTCAAGGCCATGATTGAGGAGGTACTCAAATATACTTAAGTCTGGGAAATAACAGGCCAAATGTAGCAGGGTTCTACCTTCTGGATCCACTATTGCATACAACTTGTCCCCAACCCTAGGCAAAAGTTTCTTCAAGGTATCAACACACCACTGATCATAGCGTTTAAAATAGACACTGTATTCCACTTCTAACCCATAGGGTCTTTTCATCAAATCTCTAATGGACGACTCAGGGTCTGCCCCTCTGTCAATCAAGTAGTCAACAATCTTGGTCGATCGACTCCTTATAGCTTTCAGGAGGATGCAGACACCAAAGGAAAGCGTGGAATTGACATCGACACCTTGTTCTTCTATTAAAGAAGACATTTTTCCCAGTGAGTCTTCTTCCAGGGCTTGCGTGAGGCTGAAAATTATTTGCGAGTTCTCTAGATGGGAGAGAGATACAAATTAATGAATTAATTAGTGTGCATGAAAAATAAAAAGAATTAAACTTATTTTTAAGAACAAATTTCAATAATTTCTTGTATGGCATAAATAATAATTTTGACTTGGTTCCCTGAAGAACATTAGGGGATTTTAAGACAATATTTAAAATATAAATGTACACTAACCATTCACATGTACACTTCTGGATGCCTCTTGAACACATATTATAGGTGGAGGAAGAGGGGGTGGAGGTGGCGGGGTTGGCACTTCAGGGGTAGCTGGAGTAAGTACACTTTCAAACATCATGTTTCAATAGAAATTTTTTTAAGATCCTGAAGAATGAAATTAGGGTAAAGCGTCTCAAAGCAACTTGGCTAAGTCAGTAAGTGATTACATAATTTTATTAGTAACATCCTGTAGGGTATGTGATGTTATCTGTAATGATGAAAATGTCTCCATCTAAATCTAAACCAAGAGGCATAAATCAAGACAAATTAGGCCTATTATAAGCTATAGTTTGCATATACTTTAATCTATAACTATTCTAAGCAAATTTCTAACCTAGAATAAAACACTAGCATAATTTATTTAGTAGGGGCTAGTCCCATAATATTATAGGTCTAAGCTAGGGTGACCAAACATGCAGTAAAAGTGGGATTGTCCTGTTTTTTCACAATCGTACTGGGTGTCCCAAAAAAGTCTCTCAGGACGACTAAATGTCCAGTTTCTCAAACCAAACAAATTTTCATATCACTAAACCTTCCTTATTTATAGTATCACTTCAAGTAATATTTTGGCTAGCTGTGTAGCCAGTGCCAGTAGTGATCTTCGGCTCATGTGATGGCTGCATTTAATTTGTTGTGTTGTATGTCGTAAAATATGTATAAATAAATAAATATTCACTGCAAAATTATTGTTTTCGTTCATGATATGCCTCAGAGTTTAAATTAAATTACAAAAGTGAATGTAAATTTAAAAAGATTTCTAGGTCTCAAAATAGTTAAAATGAGCATATTTCAATGAACAGTTTCCGGCGGAGACCCCCGGACCCCTCTTTAGCTGGAGGTTATCCCCCCCCCCCAACCCTCCTTGGGTGTGTACCGTTTTTTTCAGTTATTGATTTGGTCACCCTCGACCCTAGCCTAAGCAGACCATGGTACAATGATTTTCCTATCCTATTTTTCAGTATAGACCTAGGGGCATCTAATAAATGATTTCACGCTAATATTGGCAAATTGTTTACACCCCCTCCCAAATTTTGGACCATTCATAATAAAGGCTGTAAGTCAGTGTGCGATATATAAGCCATAAATGGAAGTGCCTAAGCCTAAACTAAATTTGTGTTCATAATTTCGGATGATTTGGAGGGGGGGTGGTAAAAAATTGACCAAAATAGCTTGACGTCATTAATAAATTATGATGAATGGCCCCTTTGACTGGCACCTATCAAGCACATCATTATAAATAAGGACACTCCACCCCCCACACATACACTTTTCCCAGCTAGAAGCTTGACATCGTTTATGGGTGACCCCCTCCAAGGCATAAAAATAAATAATTTAGTTAAGTATTAGGATTAGTATTAGAATTTATTAAATTAAATGTAAGCAGTGTCAAAGTGGCATTTTTTTAAAATTATAATTTAAATTATACTAAATATAATTAATAATACTTATAATACTAATTTATTTATTACAGGTAAAATAAATTGTTTAATAATTAACTGTAAAATAATCTAAAATGAAAATAAAGTAATCAAGAGAGAATAGGCCGATGTATTTTCTTTTCGCTTTTTAATAAAAATTAAAAGAATAATAATAGACAATAGACAACTAAACTCTGGCAGTAGAATAAATAATAAATAACCTTGATTGCCTTGGCCTTGATTAGAATTTCGGCCTACTGGACTCATACAGCGAGTTCACGCTGAAAGGATAAAATGTTCTTAAATATGGCATTTAATTTGATATATACTTTGAAACTTACTGTTTACAAATAACAGTAGTTTATATTACTATTGTCTTATCTACCATTATTACTACCAAAGAATTGTTACTTAGATCGTCTGCTCACGCCGAAATCACTTCCCAACAAAATTAAAAAAAACGTAACCGGAAACCAGAAGTGGTTGTGATAAGACAGAAAGTTAATATTACGGAGTTCCCAAATTTCATGGACAGGGCTGACTAAGCATCCAAGGAGTGATTTTTTAAATAAACTACATTTGTGTCTATAACTTGAGTCTGTGACGTGTTTATCCACATAAGTAGTATGCATGATTCAACATTTTCTTATGCTATTTTTTTTAATTATTTATTTAGACTTCTCTAATCTCAAACTCAAGTTAACATCGATGTCATCAAGTTATTTATTATTATTTATAAGTACTATTAATATTTAAACATTTAGGGCTAGGGATAGGACCTACTCAACTAGGACTAGGACCTAGTAGGACGTCGTTGGCTAGGGTAGGCCTATTGAGTTTTAACTTTTTAATTTAAGTAGGCTAAGTTTTAGTAAGGCAAGGTAAAGTAGATCTTTATATAATATAATAATAATTAATGATAATGAGTTCTAAACTTGAGTTGAGTCTAAAACTAAAGTAATTATTTTTTAGTCTTGGCCTGCCTATGCCTAAGAAGGAAGGGGCATTAATTATAATTATATGGACGGATAGATGCATTAAATGATTAAAGGGGCCATGGGTCATCCATAAATGCTGCCACACATCTTAGTATATTAATTAATTTAATATTAATAGTGTATATAATATATTCTGCGAGGGGGTGGGCATGAATTTGTAAATGTAAGGGCAAGGGTGCCTAATTTTTTACGATGGGGAGAGTGGGGAGGTCCAGAATGGCCCATGCCATAGGCTCAAAGGGATATAATTTAGAAGAAATAGGTGTAAATTAAAATTAGTTGCATTTATATTATACAAAGTAAGTTACTTGGTTTTCATAACAATAATAAGTGCCCAATTTTAAAACTTAAAAGCCTTACCTAATTGATAAAAACTTTTTTTGGGTTATCGCAGTCATGTATAATTGTATAAAGTGTAAGCAACCGCAATTTTTTGCACCTTGAAAATTGTAACCATAGCAAACATTTTCATAGTTCTCAGAATTTTTGGTCCAACTGACTAAAATGTAAATATACTCAATCTATTGGTTTAGGGATTTTGATAATATTTCACACATTTAGGGGTTATCCATAAATGATGTCACTCGTCTAGGGGGGGAGGGGGGTCAGATTTTTGTGACGAGGGGGGGAGGGGTCCTTAGTCAATGTGAGGTCACAAGAAAAGCGGAATATTATAGTAAAGAATTGCATTTAATATTCCTAAATTACAGACATTTTTAACATTATTGTTTTTTTACAACAATTATAATTATTTTATTTTTAAACTACGATCACTGAGATAATCACTACAGAGAAATGGCCTCTGATCAAGTTACAGGCCCTCACAGAGCAGGAGAAAATGGGTCTAGTGACTTTGACAGTTGTGAGACTTTATGTCAAAATGTGGAGATGGGACTAATAGAATTAGGACTACCACCTGAAGTGGGATGGAAAGAAAAATATGGTTGACCGAGTTGGTGGGGGGGATTAGGGTGATCTTAGTAAATGCTCTAGGGCATAGGGTAGGGATTCTTAACATTTTTGCAGCACTGCAGGCCCACTCCGTTTTTAAACATCACCCCCCTCCAACCTTATGAATTATATTATTATAAAATTTAAAATATGAATATAATTAAATACTTTAGTTATCATAGTTTTATTTCTATAATTAACATTTTATAAACAACGAAAAAAATTACCAATACAAATAATTTGCAAACAAAATTCATCAGAAAAACATTTACTGCTGCTAATCAAAATGCATAAAAACTTCTTTTTTTTTTTTAAAAAAAGCAACAACTAGCAATGGCAGCAAATAAAATTTTCTGGTCTTCCGCACCCTTGGTTAAGAACAACTGTTTTAGTGAAATGTTTCTCACACAGGTGCAGTAATTTGATATCCATGGGAGGTGAATTTCTTGTGGGTTTTTCACAAGAACTGGGCGGGGGGGGGGGGGGGGGGGGGGCAGAGATTTGTGACGTTAATATTTTTATATTTGAGGAGTGTCTAACATTTTGTGACGATGGGGGGAGTGTGGGTAAAAAATTTGCAAAATATGCACGACATCATTTATGGATGGCCTCTTACTTACACATCACTTACACTTACAATAAAATAAGACCCCAAAAAAAATGTCCAACACATTTTTATACTTCAAGATTTACAATCACCATGAGATATCATTTCTCAACAACACAGATTTCTCAATGCCCTCTCATTTACACCTTTATTTCCATATTTCCCCTATAAAGCCGTAATTATTCTGAAAAGCAATTTTATATATATATATATATATATATATATATATATATATATATGTGTGTGTGTGTGTGTTAAATTTGCTTTGGTTTAGATATTTAGCCAGTATCAAAAATATATCCTAATTCATGCATGTTAATATATTAATCTATGTTTTTAAATTTAATGAATAGCTTAGCAATATTTCACCATCTAATGATGTTTATGAAAATCTATTTATTTTTATCTTGACATGGATTTCATCCTACTAGAATATGAAGAATTTTCTCATTATTGATTTTTTAAATGTAATCCTATTTTTCAGCCGTGTGAATGGACACAACATTAATGGGATACCTGGTCTCAATGAAAAGCTAAATTGGCCTTCTGTGCCAGTATTGTGAACACTCAGAAAATGACTGAATACAGCTATAAGGAATTTGTGTGTGTGTTAATTAAAAATGAAGAAAATAAATTTTTCTTCACTGATTATAAGGAAAGAGGGTTGTGGTTGCCCTTTGAAGAGAGAACAGAGCCTAGCACATGCCGAGGAGTGGCCTTAAAAATTATTGATCGGGTAAGTAGCTAACTTTAGATTCGATTGATTGTAACTTTGTTAAGAAATAAAGAAAAGCATAGTATTGTTTAATTTAAATTTTAAAATATTTTCAGTAGTATATATATCATGTCAACTCTAATTTAATAAAAAGTTTAGGCACCTTTAAATTGGTGTCTGGCAATAGTAATCTCCAGGAAATATGTCTTCTTGTGCATTATTCCCCAAAGTGGTGGTCCACGAGCCTTACGTTGCTGGTCTCCACAATATGACTTAAGAAACTGGATAACAGTTGAATAGAGTTTAACCGCCATCACACAAAAAAAACATAGTTAGCTGAGTCTTGTCAGATCATGGATAAAAAATATTTCATGTGACTTTTTTAAGTCAATTAAATTTTTAATATATCAGGCACCTGTCCCTGGTCCAATGAGAAATTAATCCACCAGTCTGCAAAACTTAAAGAGTTTCGGAAACACTGCTCTATTGAATTGCAAAAAGGAGGGTGCACAGGGTGTTCTTTCTGTGCTGACAACTTTTTTTGTCAGTCACGTCATAGTAGAGCTTTTGTGTGCAGTGAAGAGACTGACCACTCTGCCTGGCATTCTTTTTATGTTCTGAAAATTTGCTGAAAAAAAATATGTTATAATACATTCTTTCTTTTCATTTCTTAAAATGGTTTCTTGTCAGATTTAAAAAAAAAAATATGTAGCATTTAAAGTCTAAAATGGGCTCATTAAATTAGTTTTTTAATGTAACAAAATTTGAGGTCCTTTCCTGATAATCATCTGCTTATTGAATATGATCAGTTCATGACATTTTAAGACAATAAAAAATATATTTTGTGCTTTGCAAAAGTGTTCAATGGAATTTTATAAATTACTCATTCAGATCGTCGGTGACAACACATTGCTACTAGGCATTTTAAGAAACCAGTTCATCAGATTTTCAAATGCACCACCATATTTTTACATTGTTTTCTATGCAAAAGCTAATTCAGAAACAATGAAAGTAAGTATAAATTTCATATACCATTTAATTTATGATCCCTTCAGTATAGCCATAAATTTATTATTTTAATATGCAGAGATGAAAATTAGTTTGTAAGCGCTTGGACCACAAATTTATCTAAAAGTGATCAGTGTCTTAAGATTATTTAACATGTTTATTTATAATTTACTTGTAGAAAGCAAAATTATATTAAAAACAAATAATAATGAGATCAAGTTTTAAAAAGTATCACAGATTAGAAATTATATAACAAAGAAAATAAGAGGAAGAATTTAATAATAATATTTATTGTAATAAGGAATAATACAGAGTTTTGAATTATTTATATTCTATTTTATTAGTAATTATCAGTTAAAAATTGTATCTTAATCATTTTATTTTTAAATATTGAATTTTAGGAACTATTTAATTTTGTCTTTCTAAGGAACATTTAAAAAACGCTATGCTAACATCTTCTTGATAACGAAAATTTTTAAAGAAGCAAAATAATTTATACAGAAAAAAATATAATCTGAATTATTTTTTTTACCAAGGATTCTGAAGAAGGCACCTGGCTAACATTTGAAGAGATGAAAACGTCACTTGAGCCAGATGCCAGCTTCACTATGCTGGGCATAGATATTTTAAAGGTTCTTCAGTTGGTGGTGGATTGTAAAGGTAATCTAAACATCTTAAACTATGATTCAGTATATGTCTTTTTGTAGCAACTATAAAGCTTGTCATGTCACTTCATATAAATTAATAATTAGAATAGCCTGTCAGAGCATACTGAAATTTATTTGAGTGTTTTGTTGGCTGTAGTTTTTAGTTTGTCTTCACCAAAATATGGCATGCATGCTTGTGGGCTGAGTTCAAACAAAGAGCATTGCTAGAGAATAAGTCGAAACAAATGCAGGCAATTCAGTTAGAAGGGATTTGTCAACCTCAGAAGGCTGCTCATCTGAGAGAAGAATCAGGAGGTGGATTTAAGTTAGTGTGCTGTCTTATAGAAATTCTGACAACAGAAGATCTGCTGTTTGGGAAACAGTTGAGTCTCCATAAAACGTCTCATTCAGCCCTAGAGATTCCAATTGGATTACACAGATGTCTCTTTGAGATGGATGTATGCCCCCAAAAAAAGAGAAAGTTCAGCTTTAAAACATGGAAACTACAACATTAAAAGAAAGATTGCCATGAAAATAGCATAAAAAATCAGCCTAACTTTGTTATTGTTACATTGGAAGCATGTAAAAGTGTGTAACATTAGTATCATAAACATTAAACCATATAAAGAATGTAATTATTTCTCCAATATAAAGACTACCCATGCGATTTTAGAAACAGTGCAGAGACTTCAGGCAGCATGATGAAAGCACACCAGAATAAAAAAAAATGTTTAAATTATTTGTGTCTTCCTCTCAGCAAGCGCTCTACCAGCCACAACCCTAGGTGAGTCCAGTGCTGAGCATTATGACATCACAGTGGAGAATCCAGCAATGTCTGCCCATGAAGCTCTAGTTAAGTCGGCCAAGCTGGGAATTAAAGGTAATTGAAGGCTTAGGGCAATCCATTGCCTTGTTGTCTGGTTATTTTGTCTTTAACCTTTTGATGGCACCAGCTTTCTTGTTCACAATTTTCTCTTGCATGGTGATTCTTGTGAACAACTTGCATTAGTCTGATCGATGTATATCTTTATGAACATTTGAGATTTGCCTATGTAGCCCAGTTATCCAGCAAAAAGGTGGGCATTAAATCCGTTTTTGAAGCATTGTTGGTTTACAACTAAAACAACCTTCATTGTAATGCTGGTAGTGTGTTGTTCAAGAAAAATTTCTTAAACTGTTACATTTCTTACTGCTCCTGCAAGACATTGTACAATAAAATGTATTTTGTAAAATGGTTTTGTGTTGTTTGCTTTGGTCCTAGAACAAGACTTGTTGTTTCGAGAGTACAGTGAGTACTGCCATCCCAGCCTCTACATGAATCACACAACATTCTCATCTTACATGACAACATTGAAAGGGGCCAGGCTGGAAACCATACCGGCCCTCTTCAGGTGGGTGAGAGCTCTTCTCCGAGGGTTTGAAATGATTCCGCGCGCTTGTGACATTTATTTTGTTGGGCTACGCCACAAAAAATGTTCGTTTCTCGACGCGTATTGCAAATTCAGGTTTTCACCAGGCTCCCTTTGTTAAATTCTAACAAGTACACTTCGAAATAGTGAATAATTAAACCAAAAAAAAGTAAAAGGTTGGGTCAAAATAAATGTAACAACACATTTTTAGGTCAATAAGCGCCATCTAGTAACTGCAAACAGTAGTTACTCAAGAGGGTTACTGTTTGCACCACAACAGCTAGATGTCGCATTGGATTAAAAGTAGAAATAAAATAAAATGAGATTATTTTTTTAATATTTCGCAACGCCATTGTGAGGAAGCCTCGGCAACCCATATAGAAAAATGTGCATCCTTCCCCGGGTGAACCATTGAATGGACTATTTTTAAAGCCCCTTGTCTTTGTGAAATAAATGGGATTTTATAGTTTAATTCCCTTTTAAGGTCCTATCTAAAGACGATTTTGGTGCCCCTGATTTTGGCGTCTTTTGCTATTCACACCATGCTCATGGCTCTGCCCGAGTCAACGAGCAACTAGGGCCATGCGGTGTGTATGGTGGGAACCACTGGGCTTGCCAAACTGCCAGGGGTGAAAATCTGTGACACATTTTGTTTACTGTAACATCATAATTATATAAAGATGTTATAATTATATAAAGATCATTGTTGTTTTTTTTGGTTGTTTTTTTCTTCAATGGGGAGCAGTGGAAAGCTCATTGTATTTACTCAAGGGGGTTGTAAAAAAAAGTACATGTGCAACAGGGTGGAGGTGGGGACTTTTCTTATTGTATACATTATATATACTGTATGTTTATTTATTTACTATTAAGATACCAGTACTGTATTGTACGATACTGATAAGATATCATACCATTTTAGGAGTTTGAGAGTAGACAAGTCTGGTTTTTCTAGCATCTCTGGTTGGGTCAGATGCTTTTTTAAAGTTGCCATCTTGCCTTTTTCAATGTGATTCCTGTTGTCCCTTTCAAAGTAATGCTAAGTAGTTGTCTCCATGTTGTCCCTTGTGTTGTGAAAAGAAACATTTGCAAGTCAAATTTCTGTTGCTGAGTTCTTTATTCATATTGAGGCTTTATATGCTGTTTATTTTTATCATTATGTTATGATTGATATTGATAAAGCAAATACAAATTTTGGTATGTTTGTGAATAACTATGGAAGTTTCTATCGAATGTACATGTATGATTGTGCTATTAGATGATTGATGCTTATATGTTTTCTAAATACAATATTACAATGTGTGTGATATGATAGGTGACTTTAAAAATTAATGAAAGGACCCAGGACTGGTCGTCATTCAGCAATCTTTTCTTTTACTCAGAGCCTTTGATGCCCGCAAGCGGAACTACTTATCTTTTAAAGACTTACTCCATGGCCTGGCGGCTCTGGAGCCATGCACCCAACATGGTGGCCTACCAGCAGAGATGAGATGCAGATACATGTTCAGATATTATGATATTAATGCTGATGGCTTTCTTCAGTTCGACGAATTTAAGTAAGAGGACTCTTTCATATTTAATTATTTCATTATCTTTTTTCAATTGTTTTATGGAATTTATTACACATTGGAATATGTAACGGGTTTTCATAGTTTTTTGTTGTTGATCTTGATCAAGTGATTGTATTAGATCCTTATACTTTACTCAGCCAAAAAATTGTATTAGATCCTTATACTTTACAGCCAAAAAAGGGTTGATTTTTTATTCATGCTAATAGCCATAAGTTCTACATATTGAGAAAATAGATTTTCCATGATTATATTTCTCAAGAAGCGAGTTAAGTTTGCAGTCTTAAGTGAAGCAGACAAGTGCTTGTTATTCTGTTTACCTAATCCCTCCTGAAAGCATCATCTTACAATGTTTAAGACTTAAAGCTCTTTAAGTTCCTATAATATAACCTGTAGCTTTTGTAACTATTCTACATATTTCTTAATTCTTGCCTTTGAATTGTATGTTTTTATGTTGCTTTTTTTAAAAAATAAATAGACAGAAATAGATAAAGAAAGATTGTTATGACTGTCTTGTTTGGAGATATTACTAACAAATAATTTTAATGTTGATACAAATTAAGAAATTCCTTATTAAGTACTTTATGTGAGCACCTTGCTTGTTGCAGGGCCCTTGTTAAAGACATCCGAGACCACAAGGGTTTGCCAAATGATGAAGCCTCTCTCATTGAAGATGCTGTTAGCAGTGCAAAGTAAGTTCATAGTATTGTGTTAATAACTCAAATTAATCTTTTGTATACACTTAAATATCCCATTATATAGAGCTAAGGGAAAAAAAAATCATAATTAAAAGTTTAAGCAGATGACTCTTGGTTGGTTGAGGAATGATAAAATAAGATTTTTTTTTGGTTAATTTACTATAAATAATTTGACAGGTAATTTTTACTTAAGGAATTTTAAAGATTTAAAAAAAGGGCTTTCCAGCCTTCATCTTTCATGGCAAATGTATTTTAATATAATCTTATCTTTAATCAGGTTGTTTGGCGAGGAGACCAAAAATAAATTGCCTAGCAATGATTTCCTGACAGCCGTTGGATCTCTCAAGTTTCGGGGCACCTCAATTTTGTTTCGTCTGCCTCAGTCTTGTATGACAAATCTAAAACTGTGAGTATAAAAAGCTGATTATTTTTAAATTTTATTTCCATTCCTATTAGCATTCTTAATTTATTCACGTTTTCATGATTTCAATGGGTTTAAATTGTAAGGGATGTGAGTTATCCTAAAATAATTTCATTATCCAATCAGGGATAATATAACACATTTTTTTAAAAAATAATAATAATTATTATTATTTAAATTTTATTCATTGTATTAATGATGTAATAAATGTTTAAATTTCGTCTCTGACCAGAGCCCGTGAAGGCAGCCCTTACAGTGACAGTGATAGTGACAGTCGGGAGGAGCCACCATCAAAAAGGTCAAGGCCAAAGCTCTTAGACTACAAAAAGCCTAAGGAGAAACCTGTAGAAAAAGACGGTTAGTGTCTCATAGTTTCATTACGTCTATGGAGACATCAACTGCTTCTTGGCACCTAACAGTGATGGATTGCCTGCTTTTCCATATTTCACCTTGAATACATCACATTTGATGAATGTTTTACATTGTTATTATTATTATTGTTTTATCCATTTCCGCATCCTGTAAACAAACCAAAGCTTTCCTTATTATAATGTATATATAGTTTACCAACCCCTATTATTTTATCAGTAATCCAATGAGATTGTAGATGATTTACTTAAAAGATATGGTATCCGTCAGCGTGTAGACATAGATTAGAGTGAAAATGTCCTGACTATGATTCATTTAGCTTTGGTACTGATTAGAAATCTCCTCTCAGTACCAACATGGGTATTTGTTATTTTTTTAAACATTTTTGTACAACACACTTATTTATTTCACCAGCAATAAAACTGCCTTGTCTATTGCAGTCTACCAGGTAAAGCCTTTGTGCTCTAAGGGATAGTTTGGGGTGCAAAGAATATCTCATGTCCATAATCATTATGCAGATTCCTTGTAAATTAGTACACATGAAGTATTGGAGCACTTGTCATTGTGGGTATAATTATGTACTGCAGATACAAGTACACATTCAGTACTTGATCACTTATCATTGTTGCTATAATCCTATACTACAGATTTAAGTGCACATTCAGTACTTGATCACTATAATTATATGCTGCAGATCCTGTCTTTAAACAACCCGAGGGCAGGGCACCATCCTCAGCCACATCCAAGGTGGCCAAATACGACCTGGCAACTCACACCGTTAGAGTGAAGCGAACAGGAACACTCGCTGAAGTAATGGCCTTATGGGATTTGCAAGGTTAGTGTTTGCTACATATAAATTTATTGGCAGCATGGTAGTCTGTCATTTTACATCCTAGTATTATGCCTTAAAGGGTTGACATGCTTTGTAAAAATAATCAGCTGCCTATGCATTGTGTTAAGAGTAGATGAGCATTATTTATAAGTAAACCCAATTATTTATAAGTAAACCCAATGCCATAAAATGCGGTTGTTACATAGTAATTTATGTGCACTCCTGCCACAGGTACGCCAGCTGTCAGCGGCAGTGCCAATAATCATCTGGAAGGTGACGTTTCCAGGTTTCAGAGACTTTCATCAATAGATGCATTCAACCAGGTAAAAAGTCGTCAGTAATATATAAATCAAAAGAACTATTGAATTTTGTATATACTTAATATATCCAATAACTGTCCAATCTTTTTTAAATTATTGAGCATTGTTTCAATCTGTTTGTTTCAGAGATCTCACCCCAATGAAATGTTGACTGGTCTCAGATATTTTGAGAGAGCAACAAAGGGAGATAATGGTTCCAGTGCCAAGGTAAGAAAAGTAGATAGATAATAAAGTCAGGTTAGATCACTCTAGCAGGTTAGATTACTCAGCCAGGTTAGATTTTTAAGGCAGGCTAGATATCTCAGATAGGTGAGATTTGTCAGGCAGGTTAGATAATTCAGACAGGTTAGATAACTCAAGCAGGTTAGATCACTCAGGCCTATTCAGCAATGTATAGTCATTTATGTATGCTGTTTTTTTGTTCAAAGTAATCTTTTAATGGAGTCTCCAAATTAGATTTATGTCACACACCCTTTTGGGTATCTTGCCAGAATTCCCTTTTATAAAAATTGTGCTAGAATCTTTTTTATTTTTGTTATAAATTATTTTTTTCTGTCTACCAGCCAGCCTTTGAGTGGGGCCAGGTAGATAGAACAGCTTTAGCCAAGTGTTTGTTGACAGTCTGCTTACAGGTGAAGGAAGTCTTGGCTGATGAACCCAGACTGCTCAAACTGCGCTCACCTATGTATATTTTGGGTAAGTACCTGAGCACCCCCAGCTTATATAAATTGTTGTATAATACTATATATGCTGGAACATAGTAGAATTTCAACTTTCTGAGTTAAAATAAGGATCATTAATGATCACATTTTTCCCTTTGTGTTATTGAGTCTACATAGTCCACAAGGCTGCCAGCAGTTTATTTTATGTTACTGATGGCTAATAAGTCTGCATTATGTCATTATGCTATGTGAAGCCTAGACCATGGCTGTCAGTAATAGCTACCTTTGTCTGCAGTGTGCTATGTTAGGCACAGGCCAACGGATCAATAATGGCTACTTCCACCTAGTTTTCCTTGAACCAATGTAATAAGTTATTTATGCATCATCTTGACATGTTATGATGTAATGTAAAAAGATATTTGTATCACTTTGACATATTAGAACAGACCGATCTGATAATGTAGCAAGATGTTTGTGTGGTTTGGACATGCCACGACACCCACCTGTATTTGTAACAATGGACCCGCCCCTTCAGTTGTCACACTTGTCACACCGCTTAGGTCATGATTATAATAAAGTTACGTTCTTGTCAAAATGTAATGATAAATGTTTGGTTGTCTCCCAGGTGATATTCATGGCAACTACTGTGATTTAGTGTCGTTTGAGAAAGCCTTGTGGAGAATGGGACCTAACCTCACCCCAGCCTCTTTCTTGTTCCTCGGTGACTATGTTGACAGGGGAGATTATGGTATTGAGGTAAGGGATTGGTGTATTGGGCATAACATTAAAAAGATTTGAGAGGTGGCTTATCAGCTTATGACCCTTCATAATTTATTATTAAATAAATGTGGTGGGAAGAATCTGGTCTAGTAGCATTCACCGAGGGAGCCTATATTTGATTCTTAGCATTATCATTTTCTAGCTCTTGTCAGTTCTGTCAGTGGCTCACTTGTCTGAAAAAATATGAGTGGTTGCGTTTAGGCAGTGTGGTGGAAAATGTTTTGAACAGGATTTGTGAAAGCTTGAAAGGGAAAACAGGAAAAACAAAGGAATATTTTGGCCAGAAGCCTTCATCGGCACATAAGACAAGAAACATAAGAGAATGAGAATACATTAGCGATTCATCAGAGTGAGTAAATATGATAGTGACAGCAAGTTGTCTTAAACTTTTTTGACACCTTCCAATCTACTCTCACCAAAGAAGGGAATGAGCCTTGTGGCTGAATGCCTCTAGCTCTTTGGGTGGCTTTAACCAGCTGTTCTTAGGGCCCCCAAATAGTAATGCTTCTTGTGGCCTGTCTACACCAAACAGCAGACAATAGTTTAATAGCCCAAGTTATAAAAGTTATGCTTTTAAGTTGTCACCAGCAATAGAGGCGTCTTAAAAGAAAAAATTAAATAATCATAAATTACACCTTTCAAGTTTGTTTCATTTCTCAAGTTTCAAATAAAAAAAAGTCATGGGAATTATTTTTTTTAGATAAAACTGCAATGTAAATTGGTTGACCTTATCTTCGTTTGCATTAAGTAATTTGACATTACCGACTTCCACAGGTTATTTCTTACCTGTTTGCACAGAAACTTTTATCTCCTAACAAATTTTTCATGTTGAGAGGGAACCATGAACTGCGCAGTGTACAAGAGATGTTTCACTTTAAATCGTGAGTACCAGTTGTTATACAAGTTAAAACATGTCAAACCGGGACCATGGTTAACGATTCACTTAAAATTTCAAGTCTATTGTACCAAAAGGTGGCTGGGTGGTCGAGTGGTGTAAACTCAAAAGTCATTCCCAAGTCCCAAGCTTGTGGTTGAGTTCAATCCCCACCAAAGACCAAGTCAAGCAAAAAGAACACCAGCACCCCGGGTGGATGGGACCCGTTCACCTTGGATGGCAACTCACCTAAGAGAAGGAAAATCTGGATCAAAATCCGGAGGAGTCCTGTAGCCGGATCCATTAATAAAATGAAAATTTTGACAACCCCTGCCACACAACTGGTGCCAAGCTGTATCATCCATATATGGTGTTCCCTTGGGCTATCTTGCTGTCTAGGGAACCAGCTTATAGTCCTAAGGAAAAAATCCCAGACCTTGTGATTTCATCTTGCAAAGTCACACCATTGTCACATTGTGGGCGGATGTCAGTAAATATATGCCATATATAGCAATATAGTAGCTCCAAGATTTGTCCCATTATCCGAGAGATGAAACTACACCCTATAGCTCTAACAGAGATGTCACTGGTGTACAGATAGTTTGAATAAAGTATAAGCACAATGTTAAGCTCTAGTGAGGGCCTTACACTTGGAACACTTGCCGTAAGAAGACTAAATATTTGCCTTTTAAGCAGCTCAACCATTATCTCCACAGTGAATGTTTAGAAAAGTTTGGTGACACTCTGGGCTTACAGATATGGGATGCTGTCAATGAATGTTTCGACGTCATGCCCATTGCCGCAACTGTTGATGACAAGGTGAGTTTTAAAAAACTTGGAAGTGATAGTCATGTCCTAGGTCAGATTCTGTCTGACTGTTGGAAATAGTCCAAAGTCTTTAATTTCACGTGGATGATTTTTAAGTTATTGATTATGAAAATGAATTTACAAGTCAGATATTCATTACACCTATCCTAATTATTATCTTTGATTTTTGTACCCATCCGAATTTGCATTTTATATTTTTGTACCCATTTTAATATATATGTGTGAATTTTAACATAACGTGTTTTGAATACCAGTAGATTGTGTACCAATTCTAATTTTTGCGTTTGATTTTGTACCCACCCTAACTCACCATTCAGGTGTTTTGTGTGCATGGTGGAATCCCGAGCCCTGAAAATGAAGGTGGCAACATTGAAGCCATTAACAAGATCCCTTCCCCACTGGCTGATCCTGAAGCAGAGAGTCCATTAGCATGGGAACTCTTGTGGAGTGACCCCCTGAGGTAATTAGAATTGGGAACTCTTATGGAGTGACCCCCCTGATGTAATCAGCATGGGAACTCTTATGGATTGATCCCAAGTAATTGTCATGGGAACTTTTATGGACTGATCCCCTGGGGTAATTGTCATGAGAACTCTTTATGGAGTGATCCCCTGAGGTAATTGTCATGGGAACTCTTTATGGAGTGATCCCCTGAGGTAATTGTCATGGGAACTCTTTATGGAGTGATCCCTGAGGTAATTGTCATGGGAACTCTTTATGGAGTGATCCCCTGAAGTAATTGTCATGGGAACTCTTTATGGAGTGATCCCCTGGGGTAATTGTCATGGGAACTCCAATGGAGTGATCCCCTGAGGTAATTGTCATGGGAACTTCTATGGAATGATCCCCTGAGGTAATTGTCATGGGAACTCCTATGGAATGGTCCTCTCAGGTAATTACCAATCAATGCTCACCTCATTAAATGGTGCTAATTTATGATGTTCATTTTCTATTATTTATGTCACTGCGATTAAATTTAATTAATGAATTTTTGGGAGCTTCTTTTTTCCCATTGATGTCAGTGTCGGACAAGTGCATTGTTTTTTATTTGGACTGTGTTAGAGGTTTAACATAAATGAACCACCCTCATTGATAATGATAAAATATGGAATGGCAAATTATTTCTTTTAAATACTGATGTATTTTTGAAACTACAAAACCATATGAAATATTGTTAGTTAAACACAATTGGAGGAATTTTTTCTGTTGAATGTGTGTGTATTTTTTAAACAAAGTTTCAATTGATTTCAATGCTGTCTATTTGGTCTTGAAGTAGCAGTTCAGACAACCTGACCGAGGCCAGTATACAGGAGTTAAAGGAGAACCACGGCTTTACCTTCAACACAAGACGAGGCACCGCACATTTCTTTAGCTGTGAGGCGCTCTGTAATTTCCTGGAAAGGAACGGCCTTTCCCATGTCATCCGAGCCCACGAGGTCCAGGAAGCTGGTTTTAAGGTTCGTTGATTGTTTGAACATTTTTTACCAGTGCCCAAGAGTCGCCCTTAGTAGAAGAGCAATGAACGTTACTATTTTTCTCAAACTTGAATTGTTAGTGTACAAAGCAGACAAACCTATTTTATCGTTTGACTAAAGTGGCTCAGCCTTGCAGTTGAACTGCAGGTCCATGGTGGACAGCTAACGATCTGTTTATTTGACCGTCTTTCTATGCATTCACTAAATCTTTGTTTCACATCTTTCCTTCAAGTCCATCATTTAATGTGACTATTTTACTGTACCCCTCTACTGCTATCATTCAAGTCCATCACTGAATTATTGTTTAAATTTTTTTATTTAGTTTAGTTCTACAACAAAGAGAGTTAAGGAGAGAAAAAAACTCACTTTGCATAAAATCTTTTACATGGGTTGTTTCAAAATATTTAGTGACTCCCAGAGCCTTGAAATACAGTTATTAAAAAATAAATAGTCTATAAAAAATCTTATAAAAATTTACCGTAAAATTCCAGTAATCCATGTTTGTTATTGTGTTTTCAATGACCAGGTCCAACAACAAGGGAAGCTTCTCACTGTGTTTTCATCCTCTCGCTACTGTGGGGGATCCAATGAGGCAGCTTGTGTTTTAGCAGACAATTTTAAATTACGCTTGATTCGTATCGATACGGCATAGTGAAAATGCGAATTATATGTTATGTGGACAATTCACGTGCAAGCTTCACGCACAGATAAACACAGGTGGAAATACTTATGTTAAAATCAATACATTTTTTCTGATAAAATTGTTTTTTTGAAAACAATAAAAAAAAATATTCCATTTGACTGTAAAAAAAAAAAAAAAAAAAAAAGAGAAATATTTTATTATAACCAAATTTTACCATACAAAAAAATGCCATTTATTGAGTTGAATTATATTTTGAAAAACATTGAACAAATTATTTAAACTGTTCAATGTGTGATGATAATGGATTTGAGATTTTAATGGCAAAAATTTTGTTTTTTGTCATATGATACCCACCAAACAAAGCACCTAATCAGAGCTGTATTTTATTTGATACTCTTGAGAGGAGAGACTCTCATTTGCCCTAATGAGTCCATTAGCTTTCTATTCGACAGACTCAATAAGTCAGTCTTTTTTGGCATGACTAGGAACTGTACCAAGGTTGTTAAATACCAGTTTTTAATGTTTTAAATGACCCCACTTTTAATTTAGGACTTTTAGATCTTTCAAGCTTTGATGGTTCAGTAAATTGATTGTTCCTGAACATTCTAAGGTCAACTTTTATAATTTAATAGAAACGATCTCCTTAAAAAATATTTGAACATTAGATTTGTAAAGTTGCTTTCCTAAATTATTTTTTCAAAGAAGAAAATAAATCTCCCTTAATTAAAAATGTTATGTTCATTACTGCATTGAATAAGATTTTTCCCTCTTAACAGTATGCTCATTTGATCCTCTTTTAGTACGAAGAAAAGCTTGTACTTAAAAGGGAGTTTTTATATATATATATTTACTGGTTTTATGGGGGGGGGGGGGTTCCAGCCGGCTACAAACTGCAGCAGGATCCTATGTCGTATGTTCAGAAAGTGTAGAAATCTCCAGAGAATGTGGTGTAATGACTATAATTATGGACCTATCCAACATCTTGATTCATGTTGGGTCTTGACATGTACACATTAGTAATGGACCTGAGTAGAGCAGGTCAGGTGGTGTAATGACTATAATCATAATTAAGGACCTATCCAACATCTTGAGTCATGTTGGGTCTTGACATGTACACATCAGTAATGGACCTGAGTAGAGCAGGTCATGGTCACGCGCACATAGCATTTTATCAAAGTACCAGAGGGGTTAGCTGGCTAGAACACAAATATTTCACATGCCATAAATATTTATGTACTATTTAATCTTTATTGCTCGTGTAAGTTGACTTTTTAACCTGATGATAGCTTTATGTTATGTTGAGGATATTAAACTGGCCAGTCAACAGTAAATCAGGCATTAATCAGCACTAACATGCTCAATCTACACTTAGTCTAAAATGCTGATTTGAAAGTCCAAAAGTTTGCCCTGCAGGCATCTTGTTGTATGAGTCAAACCCATGTTATTTCACTATTTGTGGACATTGATGTAATCCCAAAATAGATATGGTAATTGTCTCACTATAATAATAATGATAAAAAAAAAACTTAAATGAAGAAAGATAAACCTAAGACTTAATGTATCAGTTTTATTATATATCTATCATCAGGGCCGGCCTTTAGGCCACTGCAACCTATGCGGCGGCAGTGGGCCCCGCACTTTTTTTTCTAATAATAAATCTTAATTTTCACTTATTATCCTTATCACTACCCAGACTGTGCCCCGCGCAATCCGTTTCGCATAGGGCCCCGCAATTGATAGGGCCGGCCCTGTCTATCATGAATTGATCATTGACTATTGCAAGCACCACAGCTTCTGTGCTAACCCTGTATGAAACATGCAAGCAGATGGATGGTCAGCTGGTGGTAAATGAGTACTACACCACGGTCTTTAACCCTAGTCTAGTCTAGTCTATGTAGTCTAATCTATACCGTTTTGTAGTAGATCTACATTTTGATATAATTTAAATTGTGTCCTAGACTGAGAATGTTCATCTCTCCAGGTTTTTTTTTTTTTAAATCTAGGCACAGATAGGAAAAATCTTGGATGTTTTTAATTTTTTTTTTAACCTATTTAAAATTCAATTTGTTTCAAAAATTTATTTTTAATTGTAAATATTTTAGGAAAAATTTCTACCCTAATTTTTTTTTTAAAAGATACTTCAAAATGTCTAAGAAAAAATATGGTAACAAAATATATGTTTACTTCCATCAGAGTTTATATACTAACAGTCAAAGCTTAATGGGGGGGGGGGGGGGTTTGGGGGGTTAAATTTGTTTTTTTTAAATTAATTTTTTTTTTAAAAGATACTTCAAAATGTCTAAGAAAAAATATGGTAACAAAATATATGTTTACTTCCATCAGAGTTTATATACTAACAGTCAAAGCTTAATGGGGGGGGGGGTGGTTTGGTGTGTTAAATTTGTTTTCTTTAAAAGTTGACTTCCAAATGATCATTTTCTTCAGCCGCACTCCACCATGAAGCTCCTAAATCCTTAGGATAAAACTTTCTGCTACAAGTTTTCAGTAACATCTTGTATTAAAACCAGCTTGAATTATTGTGTGTGCATCATCATTATAGAGCTCGGGTGAACTGGGACACTGAATATTGTTAGTAAAACCATGCAGCAGGGCTATAATGACCTTGTTTCCCCATAAATTTTTAATTTCCTCATATAGATTTCAGATCTGACTTGGCTCAAGTAGCCCACAAAACAAGACAGGTGTAAATAAATGGCAGGAATTTTTGGCATACTCTTTACAACGAGCAGCAATCAACTTTAACATTAAAAAAAAGATCAACAATTTTAGATGTGGATATTATGCTCTCATAATAGTGTCTTATAATTTGTATACTGACCTGTATTACTTATTCAGGGCAAGTATCAAAGTAAGATAGGATCTAACAAATAGTCCTTGAAATTTAAAATATAAATACTTGCTTAGACTGAAATATTATTATTATTTTTTTACGTAACATGCTGTAAGGTAAAAAATATTACAAACGGCTGATCTAAGGGAGTGTACTGTGGGAGTTTTGTGATTAATAACCATAAAATATCTACAGTAGGAGTGTTGATTGACATTTCTCTCCTGGCGCTCTTTATTCTATAGCACCATAATCCTATTACCTGACGGTTGAACGGCAACAGAATCCTTAGAGCCACTATGAAAGGATATTTCATATTTATGTTACATACATCACAGATATGTTACATTTGTTAAAAAAAATATTGTAGATAAGCTGAGGTATTATAGTCAGTATTACTTTATTATCCAAAAATGTTCTTACTTCTTTTTTTTTTTTTAAATTTAAAGTGCTTTCTGACCTGTACATTCATTACATTGACTAATGAACTTTTTTTTTTAAAAACTATATTTGATTTACAGTGTTGTTTTTTTTTAAGCAGTAAACTTGTTTTGCTATTTTAATGTAAAATGTCACTTCATAATACTGCTTTAAATTGTGAATTTCTTGGTTACCTCCCATACCTTGAAGGCTGGGAACAATTGGTTGCGTGTTCCACAACATTATTTGATTTTGCTGGTGCTTAAAGGAGTTTGGCAGATTATTTTTCCTAACACCTCCAAAGCAGTTTTATTCATTTTTTTCAATGACCCTTTTTCCTAAACAAGGATTTAATGTATTTTAAATTTTAGTTCCGCCATGGGGCTTGGTTCCTTGAGCAATATAAGAATTACGTAATACTTGACATTATTAAAACGTGTTGGTCTTCATGAGTAAATACTTGTGATATTTTTTTAACAGATTTCATGATAAATATTTTTTTTAATTAACTGACAAATGTTGGTGGGTTAACAACCTACAGATGATTGCCCTAGTTCAGTGTGTGTCATATATTTAGTTGAAGCATTCAAATATTCTTTAATATTCATTTTTTTGTAAAATTGTGTCCGTAAAGGGATAATGGATAATAATTGATTATTTTGTCCTTCAATATTCCTCCTGTTCGTATGGATCAAACATCCAATACAAAAATCTTCTGTGGAATAATTAAATACTTTTTATTAGATATGCTCTAAGCTAGAGTTTTAAAAAAACAGTTTTGTTATCGTATCTGAAACATGCCAAAGTTAACATTATCCAGTGAAATGACATTCCTTGCACCTGCTTCTTAAAGAATGCAATAAGGGGGGCAATAGTATTTAGTTCGAACCCAAAAAATTAAACTCTATTACAGTATCATCCTGTTAAGATTCAACTGTTAACCAGCATGTGACACACAGTGGTACAGCTGTATAATGACATGTACCGTAAAATGGTACAGTGTCTGACATACTGTCTGTGGTACAGCTGTATAATGACATGTGACTTACAGTGGTACAGCTGTGTGTATTCAGACACACTGTCTGTGGTACAGCTGTATACTGACGTGTGACAACATTCACTGATACGTGTATGTACGATCTGTAAGAAACTTATGATGTCAGATGAGCTCATTTAACACGACTCCATTGCTTTGGCTGTGCTCTTCATACCATTGTTGGGTGAATTTTGCTGTTTGAGTCAAGTTTTCGGTCTCTGATTATTTTGACAAGCATAAATAGAAAATATCCGTCCCCCATCTGTCACCATGCGTATGTGACTAGTTCACATACAGTATGCGACGAGGATCTTTCTGTTCACATGTGAAATCATACTGAGTACCTTCATCAAATTTTCAAAAAGCCATTTAATCTGCAATGCCCTATCTTTATCATGACAAAGGTTATTGCTTATGTCCTTATGTGCATATTGCTATTGGGTTCACCATAGATAAAATGGGCTGGACATTTATTTTTGTTATTTTATTTAAAAAATTCCCTTTATTTGTTGAAAGTTGTGTCTCGTTTTAATTTATGTGAAACTCTGCTGTACTTAGATCTTGCCAAGGGTAGACAAAGCCAAAATATGATTCACGTGCCGGCCCCATTTTCTCGAGAGGCATCCGGTTCTTGGGTAAATACGTTTTAAACTCAGCTTGAAAATTTCAGGTGTCGTGATGCCTTGCATTTGTCTACTCCTGGATATTATTACAACTTTGCTGTTAGAGGGCTGTTAAAGAAATTGATAAAAGATTAATTTTGTTGCTTGAGGAATGGCGTAATGATTATGTTTAATTAACTCCTCATCCATTTTTATGTTTATTCCTATGAAAACTATCATATTTTTATAATGGAAAAAAATGACTTATTTTGTAAACA